ACTCCTTGTCTTTGACGATATCCTTTCGCAGCCAACCTAGCTTTGTAGGTTTAAACGTTGCAAGGAACTATTCCTTGCGGTTTAGGAACCAAAGTCCATACCTTGTTTTGATGCATCGAATCTATTTTAGATTCCATGGCTTTAAGCCATTTAGAGAAGTCAACATCCTTGACCGCCTCCTCATAGTTACTAGGTTCATCATCCTTTATGGTTTGTTGATTCTCAATCACAAACCCATACCTCTCAGGTGGATGGATGACCCTAGTAGACCTACGAAGTTGTGTGTTTACTTCTCCATTGGAGAACGTCGCCTGCAAAGCAAACTCAGGTTCCTCAATCTGTTCCTGTGTTCCTTGAACTTCTTCAAGATCAATCTTACTCCCACTAGCTCCTTGAGAGATCAAATCCTTCTCAAGGAACTCAGCTTTCTTGGACAAAAACACCTTGTGTTCGTCCATAGAGTCAAAGTAGTATCCCTTAGTACCTTTGGGATACCCCTCAAATAGACATTTAGTACTCTCAGTACTAAGCTTTTCTGATGCCAACGCTTTGACATATGCTGGCGATCCCCATACCCTGAGGTAACTCAGGTTGGGTCTCTTACCATTCCATATCTTATATGGTGTGGTCTGAACAGATTTAGACGGTACCCTATTTAGAAGGTATGTCGCTGTGTCTAAGGCATATCCCCAAAACGATTTTGGAAGTTGAGTCTCACTCATCATAGACCTAACCATGTCTAACAAGGTCTTGTTTCTCCTTTCGGAGACACCATTTTGGTGTGGTGTGTAAGGTGCAGTAAGCTGCGAGAGAATCCCATTTTCTCTCATATAATCCTGAAACTCATGTCTCAGATATTCACCACCACGATCTGATCGCAATGTCTTAATCATCTTGCCACGCTGTTTCTCTACTTCATTCCTATACTCTTTGAACTTTTCAAAGGTTTCGGATTTATATCTTATTAGGTACACGTACCCAAATCTCGATTTATCATCAGTAAAGGTAATGAAATAGGAGTATCCTCCTCTAGCCTCTATAGACATTGGCCCACAAACATCAGAGTGAATGAGTTCTAATAACTCACTAGCCCTTTGGGCTTGTGACAAGTCATTTTCCCAGTTAGACAAGATTCACATTGTCCATAGGATTCCAAATCCATGGAATCTAGGTATCCATTTGCATGCATCCTAGACAATCTTGTTTCGTTTATGTGCCCTAGTCTACAATGCCAAAGTTAAGATTGATTATCTATCCTAGGTCGTTTCACATTTACATTGAGCACTTCAGTTCTCATTTCCAAAACATATAGGCCATTTATTAAAGAATCAGTACCAAAAACAATATCATTCGAAATGATAGAAAATGTACCATCCCTAACAACAATGATGCACGGACACGGACACGGGACACGACACGACACGACACGACACCCTGACACGTTAATTCTAAAAAATGCTAAATTTCGACACGTTGGGACACGTTTTGATATTAAATAATATTTTTAATATATATAATATTGTTTACATTTAATACATATAGCAACTCATAATAACTTATACACTTAAATTAAAATGTTTAGGTTCGAATCACTTTTTTTTTATAGGCAGATTTGAAGCCTTTATCAAACTAAAAAATATCACTTTCTCTTAGTTTTATATTGTTTTAATTTGATTTAAAGTAGTTGGCCCACAATCACGTGCATATTACAGCTAGCTAGGGTCAGATGTGAATGATGTGATATCAACTTTATCTATAGTGTATTAAAAAATTATTATTTAAAATCAAATTTGAAATTGAATATACAATGTCATTTGATGCACTAGATAACAAAACTCACTCGTTGTACTTTGGAGGACGAATACACTAGATAACAAAACTTGGATCTGCGTCTCTTAATCTCAACGTGAGAGTTCAAGCTGAATCGGTGGGTTTGGGGAAGATGATATGTCCGGTGATGATGGGTGGTGAAGGGTGGGACGGTGAAAGAAAAGGAGAGGTTGAAGAAGAGAGATGGTGCAGTGGAGATGGTATGGGGCTGCGGGTGACGGGCGGTTGGAGGTGAAATGGGGTGGAAGGAGGGTGATTTGGAAAAGAATGGGCTGTGGTGTTGGGACGGTGGTGAGAGGTTAATTTCAGAAAAAAAAAATCAAAACGTGTCCCAAAACGTGTCCATATATGTTGACTGTGTGTCCGATTCGGTCAAATTCGTGTGTCCCACTAGTCAACGTGTCCCAAAAAGTCAACTGCGTGTCGAACGCGTGTCCGAACGTGTCGGTGTCCGACACGTGTCCGACACGCATTTTTTTTCAAAAAACACGTATCCGTGTTTCAGAGCCTAACAGTGAAAGCAAAACCATCTTGTTCTAAACAAGAAATAGAAATAATGTTTCTAGAAATGCTAGGAACATAAAGACAATTATTCAAATGCAATAAAAGACCCGTAGGCAAAATGAGGTCGGAGTCTCCAACAGCATGAGCAACAACTCTTTCTCCATCACCAACGCGGAGGTTCACCTCGTTCTTCTCCAATCTTCTAGGGTTCCTAAGCACCTGCAACACATTGCAGATATGAGAACCACAACCGATATCCAATACCTATAAAGTCAGATTTAGCACAAGAATAATTTATCTCAATCATGTAAATACCTGAGGTAGAAGCATCACCATGCTTCTTGTCCTTCACACTCTTCAAGTAGTCTGGACAATTCCTCTTCCAATGGCCTTTCTTGCCACATTGGAAGCATTCAGCATCACTTTTGTCCTTGGATGCATTCTTACCCTTCTTTTTGCCTTTCTTCTTCTTGGGTTTTCCTTTGGACTTAAGGGAGTCGCCTTTCGCAGGCTTCTTGCCCTTACCCTTGGCCTTGCTAGGCCCACCAATCAGAAGAGCTTGTGTCCTATCCTTCTTGATAGACACTTTAGCAGTTGTTAACATACTTAACAATTCAGGCAAGCTCACAAGCATCCCATGCATGTTGTAATTCATAATGAATTGACTAAAGGAAGGTGGAAGTGAGGTGAGGACTAAGTCATTACTTAGCTCGGCATCCATGATGAAGCCTAGATTTCCTAGCTTCTCAATGAGTCCGATCATCTTAAGAACATGACTGCTCACAGACATGCTCTCAGACATCCTACAAGAGAACAATTCTCTAGAGGTCTCATACCTTTCATGCCTGCCTTTAATATCATACAACTCCTTGAGATGCAGGATAATAGAGGGAGCATCCATATGCTCATGCTTTTTTTGCAGTTCAGGCGACATGGATGCCAACATAATGTAGACTGCCATCACATTGTCATCCATGTGCTGTTTGTGGGCCTCGAAATCAAATTCTGCGAACCCATCTTCCCCTTCCCTAGGAGCTACGGGTAATGCAGCATCTAGAATGTAGGCTATCTTTTCGGCCCTAAGAACAATTCTCAAGTTCCGATATCAGTCCATAAAGTTTGAATCGGTCAGTTTGTTCGTATTGAGTATTGAGCACAGTGATAGTGGATTAGTCATACTAAAAATTGAAAAATAAGTAAAGATTAATTAATTAATATTGTCATGTAATTAGAACAAATTATTAAAGACTTTAAATAATTTTCCCCTCTGATAAACCCTTAGTTCATCAGGTTTTTCAGCATGAATTAGTATCAATCTGTGTGATTAAATGATGGAAAAAGAGGTTAATATCCTAGAATGTCCTCAACTACAAGTTCAAGAAGCTTTATTGAAAATTTGTATTATTCTTGTAGGAAAAGCAAGATTAAAAAGCAGTTGGTTATCCGTCAAGCATGGACGCTAAAACGTTCACTCATGAACGTTTTAGCGCCCATGTTAGTTTTTCTGTTTGAATTTGTAAAACTATATAAGGCAAGGGCCTTCACATTTTTAAGGATCTGGATTCTCTCTCTCTCTCTCTCTTACATCAGATTCTCTGATATGATTTCTCTCTAAAATTCTTAGGACTTAGTTCTTGTATTAGTTAGTTTCTTATGTAATTGTACTTGGAGATTGAAGATTCACTGCATGGCAATGGAGTTTGATCTTTCTTCTCTTGTGTATTCTTTAGTTATGTCTGAGTAGAGTCATTGTGGTCTGAATTCAATGGAACTTAATGATAATCTTATGTATGTTTGATTAATATGATGAAGTATTTTTCATGTGTTGATATGAGATTTTCTTATTCAATTCTTTCTACTCCAATATTTGGCAATCTCATCATCAGGATTCTAGTACTCAAGGGATTGATGCTAGAGTTCTGATGTAATCTTAAGACTTTAGTGTTTAATGTATGTATTAAGAAAGGAATCACCAAGGGATTGGGGTTTCTGATTAATGTATCTATCAGGGTAGTAAGGGATTACATCTTGATGATAAGTAAAAGGTTGATTAACATCACATGAAAAAGAATTCATCATATGGTCAGTTTTTACATGAGTTTATTGTTGAGGGAAGTTGTTTTCTGACTACTTGTTTTTATTAAATCTTAATTCAGATTTTAGCATTATATTATGTTACTTCAAATCAATTTTCTGGTGACAAAACATTCATGATTTTTACAAACTCTTGTTTGATTCAAATTAGTTTTCTATGGTTAATTGGTGTTTGAATACAAATCTCTGTGGGAACGATCTTTACTCATCATTTTATTACTTGTACGACTATTACACTTGCTAGATTCGCAACAAGTTTTTGACGCCGTTGCCGGGGATTTGTTTTTCAACATTGATTGATACCATAGAAATCTGAGATTGAATCCTTTTATTTTCAACATTTTATTTTGTGTTAAATTTCTGGTCAATTTTGATTCTGGTGTATGCGAGGTATTATTGATCCAAACTTCTTGTTGTATGATCCAGAATTAGAAAAGACTTTGAGGAAGAAAAGAAGGGCAGCAAGACAAAGAAGACAGTTTCAAGAAAGGGGTGAATCCAGTGCTGTCAACCAAGTAGAAATTATGGCAGAAAATCATGTGCAACCACCACAGAGGACACTGGGAGATTAGATGACTCCTGCAGTGATTCTTCCAATTGGTAGTGTTGTGTGCCCTACAGTAGAGCCAAATAACTTCGAATTGAAGCCTGCATTGGTACAGTTAGTGCAGAAGGAGCAGTTTGTTGGAACCAGTGCAGAAGACCCTTACTTGCATATAGAAAATTTTCTGTTGTTGAGTGATACTGTGAAAATTAACGGTGTCACAAGGGATGCAATCCTGTTGAGACTATTCACTCATTCACTGAAGGATGATGCAAGGAGATGGTTGCAATCATTGCCTCAGGGGAGTATAACAACTTGGGATGATCTGCAAACCAAGTTCTTGGCCAGATTCTTTTCAGCATCCAAGAGGGCAAAGTTGAAGGATGTGATCACAGGCTTCAAGCAAAAAGAATGAGAATCCATTTATGAGGCTTGGCAGAGATTCAAGACTTTATTGAGGAAATGTCCACAGCATGGAATAGAGGTGTGGAATCAAGCAGCAATCTTCCTACAAGGGATGACCACCAATACTAGGACATTGGTGAATGCCACTGCTGGTGGTTCATTGACCACCAAGACTCCTCAAGAGGCTTTGGATATTTTTGAATCATTGGCATCTCAGGAATTTGATAATGCCCCAGTGACTGACAGAAAGACAGGGATCATCAAGCTGGATGGCTATGATGCTTTGTTGGCAAAGAATGACCAGTTGATGCAGACACAGAAACAACAACAACAACAGTTGGATGCTCTCACTAAGCAACTATCCTCACAAAAGGTTGCTTCTGTGGATACCAATTGTGTGTGTGCTATCTGTGGCAAAGACCATGTGACAGAGGAATGTGACTATGGGGGATCACCAGAACAAGCAGAGGTTAATGGAGTGTGGTATGACAACAATAACCAGAGGAATTACAACAATCGGGGGCGAAATGTGTATGTGCCACCATGGAAGAACAAGAATCAGCACCCAGGGTTTAGTTATAGTTCCAACCATCAATTGAATCCTCCACTGCATCCTCCTCCAACACACTCATCACAGCCAAGTGATATTGTTGCATGGGAAAAAGCCTTTGCTCAGTTATCCAAGACTACTCAAGATTACATTCAGGGGTCTAATTCATTCAGAGAGGAAACATCTGCATTCATGCAAGAGACCAAGACTTCATTCAGGAATCAGGAAGCATCTATCAGGAATCTGGAGACCCAGATTAGTCAGCTATCAAGACAGATATCTGAGAGACCACAAGGAAAGTTTCCTGGTGATACAATGGTGAATCCTAAGGAGCACTGCAAAGCAATCATGACAAGAAGTGGGTTGGTGCTTCAACAGGTGAAAAAGAATGTGGAAGATAAGAAGGATGAAGAAGAGGTTGTGGTTGGAAATGTAGTCTCTGATGACGAGGTAGAGAAGGTGAAGGAAAATAAAGAAAAAGAAACAGTGAAGGAAAATAAGGAAGAAAAAGATGTGGTAGTTGACAATGATGGTGTGCCCAAGAAGACAATGAAGTGGGAGAAGAAGAAGATGGCTGACAAGCAGGACCAGCCAGTTACTTTGTCTCCATATGCCAAAGTTCCTTACCCTCAGAGATTGAAGCAAGAGATTCAGAAACAACACTATGCAAGATTTCTGGATATCTTCAAGAAATTGCAGATAAACATACCATTTGCTGAAGCTCTGGAGAACATACCTCACTATGCAAAATTTATGAAGGATCTTCTATCTAAGAAGAGGAAGTTTAAGGATGGTGAGACGGTGGCTTTGACGGAGGAATGTAGTGCTCTGATTCAGAAGAAATTACCTCCAAAGTTGAAGGATCCAGGGAGCTTTAGCATTTCAATTGCAATTGGGGATGTGGAAGTTGGTAAAGCACTATGTGATTTAGGGGCAAGTATAAATTTGATGCCATTGTCTGTCTGTAAGGCATTGGGGATAAATAAGTTGAAGGATACCAATGTTATTCTGCATCTAGCAGATAGATCTATCAAAAAACCAGAAGGATTAGTAGAAGATGTGTTGGTTAAGGTGGACAAGTTTATTTTTCCTGTGGATTTTGTGATACTTGATATGGAGGAAGAGGATACTGAAAGTCCTTTACTCTTAGGAAGACCATTCTTAGCAACTGCAAGATCCCTGATAGATGTTGAACAAGGGAAGTTGATGCTAAGGGTGGATGAAGAAACAGTTACAATTGATGTCTTTGAAGCCATCAAACATCCTGTTGATGTGGAGGATTGTTTCAGTATTGATGTCATACAGGAGATGGTGGAAGAAGTGAATAGAGAAGAAGACTTTTCATTGGAGGAAGACAGATTTCTTGAGGAGACATGTACAGAAAATTATCAAGAGGAACCAGTAGTGGAAGAGCTTGATAAGAAGATAGATGACATTCCTGTGGGAGCACCTAAGGTAGAGCTTAAAGAACTACCTTCAAATCTGAAGTATGTGTTCCTTGGGGATGATCAAACATATCCAGCAATTATCAATGCAATGTTATCTGAGAGTGAAGAAATGAAGTTGATTAAGGTACTCAAGAAGAATAAAAAAGCTATGGGATGGCAATTTTCAGATCTTAAGGGTATCAATCCTTCTTTCTGCACCCACAAAATCTTGATGGAAGAGGAAGTCAAACTAGTAAGGCAACCACAGAGAAGACTCAACCCCACTATGAAAGAGGTAGTGAGGAAGGAGGTTGTGAAGCTACTTGATGCTGGGATGATTTATCCTATCTCAGACAGTGCTTGGGTGAGTCCTGTTCAAGCAGTACCCAAGAAAGGGGGAATAACTGTGGTAAAGAATGAGCAGAATGAACTGATTCCCACAAGGACAATCACTGGATGGAGGATGTGCATTGACTATCGGAGATTGAACAAGGCAACAAGGAAGGACCATTTTCCCCTTCTGTTCTTGGATCAGATGTTGGAGAGGTTGGCAGGACATGCCTTCTATTGTTTCTTGGACGGCTACTCAGGTTACAACCAGATAGCTGTGGCTCCAGAGGATCAGGAGAAGACCGCATTTACATGTCCATATGGAATTTTTGCATACCGGAGGATGCCCTTCGGCTTATGTAATGCTCCTGCCACTTTTCAAAGGTGCATGCTGTCCATTTTTTCTTATATGGTAGAGAAATATAGAGAAATCTTCATGGATGATTTTTCTGTATTTGGTTCTGATTTTGATGCATGTATGGAAAATTTGGATTCTGTTTTAAAAAGATGTCAAGATTGTAATATGGTTTTGAACTGGGAAAAATGTCACTTCATGGTGACTGAAGGAATTGTTCTTGACACAAGGTGTCTATGAAAGGAATAGAAGTAGATAAGGCAAAAATCTCTGTGATAAAGAAACTTCCTCCACCTGTCAATGTCAAAAGTGTGAGGAGTTTTCTTGGTTATGCAGGATTTTATAGGCGGTTCATTAAAGATTTTTCAAAAATTGCCAAGCCTTTATGCAAGTTGTTGGTCAAAGACCAAGAGTTTATGTTTGATGATGAATGTCTACATGCATTTCATATTTTGAAAGAGAAGTTGATCACTGCACCTATCATGATGGCACCTGATTTTTTATTGCCATTTGAGTTAATGTGTGTTGCCAGTGATTATGCTGTAGGAGTGGTACTAGGCCAAAGAGTGAATAAATTATTGCATGTCATTTACTATGCTAGTAAAATCCTAAATAGTGCACAAAAGAATTATGCTACTACCGAAAAGGAATTACTGGCTATTGTGTATGCATTTGACAAATTCAGGCCATATCTGCTAGGATCAAAAGTTATTGTTTATACTGACCCTGCAGCTCTAAAGTATTTGTTAAGTAAACAGGATGCTAAGCCCAGGTTACTCCGCTGGATGTTACTATTACAAGAGTTTGAGGTGGAGATCAAATACAAGAAGGGAGTTGAGAACTTGGTGGCTGATCACTTATCCAGGATTACAGAAAAAGAGCTTCAAGAAGGATCAGAGGTAGTGATCAGAGAAGAGTTCCCTGATGAACAGATACTGGCAATAAGTGCTGTTACGGAAATGGTGGGGGATAAAGTTTTAACCATCAGTACCCCACCATGGTTTGCTGATTTTGCCAACTACAAAGCTGCTGGGATAATGCCTAAGGATTTCACATGGAAACAGAGGAAGAAATTTCTACATGACGTGAAGAGATACATTTGGGATGAGCCATATCTCTTTTATAGGTGTTCAGATGGTGTGATCAGAAGATGTATTCCAAAGGAGGAGCAGAAGGATGTATTGTGGCATTGTCATGGTTCTGCTTATGGTGGACATTTTGTAGGAGAGAGAACCGCAGCAAAGATGTTGATAAGCGGTTTCTACTGGCCAACTCTATACAAGGATGCCAAGAAGTATGTGGAGGCATGTGAGAACTGTCAAAGGACTGGGAATATCTCCAGGAGACATGAAATGCCCTTGAACAATATACAGGAGGTGGAGATATTTGATGTTTGGGGTATGGATTTTATGGGACCTTTCCCTTCGTCCTACTCTAACAAGTACATATTGGTGGCAGTTGATTATGTTTCAAAATGGGTTGAGGCCATAGCCACACCTACCAATGATTCTAGGGTTGTGATTGCTTTTCTGAGGAAGAACATATTTTCGCGATTTGGAGTCCCGAGAGCTATAATCAGTGATGGGGGAACTCATTTTGATAATAGGATGGTGGAGTATGCTCTTGCAAAGTATGGGGTGATGCACAAGATAAGTACTCCGTACCACCCACAGACTTGTGGTCAGGTTGAGATTTCCAACAGGGAATTAAAAAGAATATTGGAGAAGACTGTTGGGTGTGCTAGGACTCAATGGTCCAAGAAACTTGATGACACTCTGTGGGCGTACCGGACAGCATTCAGGACTCCTATTGGAATGTCCCCATTTCAACTGTTGTTTGGGAAAGCATGCCATTTGCCAGTAGGGTTGGAGTGTAACACCCCGTATATATCCGGTAATGTTATCATAATATCGTATTAAGCTGCGCTTAATTAAAAATGAGGAATTACTTTTTCTTTTCAATTATGATGCCATTAACATTACCAACTTGCTTAATAATCAATTAATAAAACATCGCCCGTATGTAATTGCAATAAAACAGCTAACTGAAATACCTCATAACATAGGTATTATAAATGTGGCTCTAGTCACGAAACTACAACAACGTAGACCGGACCATCTAACAGTTTATACAACTCCAATCTAAAAGTACTAACAGAAACTGTCATAGACAATCCCCATGCTCACTCAAATAAGGCAACCTGCCCAACATCAGTCTCAACAACAACATATCATAAATAGCGAAAAACATAAACAACATCCAAATCCAGTCATGCTAACATAAAGCAGTAAAACATAATCAGCTAAGCTCCGGCCTCCTGCCACCTGAGGCATCAGTACCCATACTACCTGATCCTGAAATAAGCATTCCCCAAACGTGGGGTAAGATCTCTAATCTAGAAATCTCAGTAAGTCAGTGAGTCCTCAAGGATCTTCCACCCCAAGCTCACTTACATGTGCAATATAAGTTCAAAAGCAGTTTATCATTTATCATTTCTAAAACAATGCAATGCAGCAGATAATCATGCCATGTGTGTCAATACTAATCTACTGGCCAGAGACAGTGCAAGTATACGTCTATCACCTACACACCGTGCAAGTACCACTTGCATTCACCCCGGTACACCGTCTTGTATGGCGCTACATACTCAAGCTTCCCGTCAAGATGAAACAACACATCCATATTAAAAGCCATTACATGTAAAGTTAAATCAACATATCAGATATCCAAAAGCATGTACACAGCATGCATAAACCATACTCCCATGGGACATGGTGGAACCACAACATGGCTAAACCGAGGACACGAAAGCTTAGCTCTAAGCTAGCTATCCAATGCCACAAGCTCAAAGTCCAATCACAGCAGATCACAATCTGTTATGGACCAAATATAAATCAATAACATGTACCACATGCATACAAATTAAAGACAACGCCTTTTCATTACGTTTTATGTCTTAAGGCTTCTCACCAAACCATAAGCCCTTAATCACTTGATTCTGACTTAGTTTAAACAAACAGAAGTTCAACTTCCTCAATCTAGGGTCCACAAACCCCCAATAGCCTACTGTCCTCACAGCACAGTTACTGTTCTTCGAAATCCCAGAATATCCGGATATTCCTTGGGACCATATCCGGATATTCAATATCCGGATATCCAGAATCCCATATCCGGATATCTAATATCCGGATACTCAAAACCTATATCCGGATATCACATATCCGGATATTCATCGGGCACATATCCGAATATTTCACGACAGAATGCAAAAAATGCATTTCGTGAAGATATCCTTCCAAGGTTGGGTTTTTATCGATTGTAGGCACTTAAACATGCATTTCTAGGTGTGTTCAACATTACCCAACAACAAGTTATCATCTTTAAGCCTTAACATGCATCAAGCTTTCATTTTTAAACTTAAAGACTCAAGATCAAAGGTGATGAAGCTTACCAAAGCTCAAACTCAGAAAAAGGGTGCTCTTAGAGCTCACACAACAGCTCCAAGGTTCTGTCTCTCACTGTACACGAAAATAGTGCACAAAGGTGGTTCTTTTACACAACAAGGAAGCTCCTTGAAGCTTCAAAACACCTAAGGAAAGCTCCTTCCTTCCCAAAACGTGAAAACAACAAGCTCACCCCTCTCAAGACAGAAGCCAAACTCAGAAATGAAGTCTCTTTCTCACTCACAAGGATTGTTCACACTCACCCAATGTGTTTACAAGAGAAAAAGTGAAGAATCAAGGAAGAAAAGGCCTTGAACCTCAAGAAAAGGAAGGAGAAAACCCAAAGGCTGTGTTTCTGGTCAGCCACCAACACAACTCACGTAGCAAAATCTGGTATCTAGGGCAATGTGCCCTTAGTAAGGGTATTTATAGCCCAAACGCACTTAAACACACATTATTAACTTTAATTGCTACGCTTAGAATTTTAATCCCAAACTTTGGGTTATGAAACTACATAATTTTCTAAGATTTATCATATTTTTCTTATAATTTTCTGAGCACCTTTCCGGTACGCGCTTTTCCAAGCCAGTACCGGTTTCTAGCACCAATTCTCATTATTTGGACTTGAAACTCGTTTTACAAGTCCTACATATCATTCTAGTAAATAACATTCACTTACTTTAATTTTCCGGGATACTTTTTTGGTACTCATTTATACCGACTAGCAGAACCGGTATCTGCACTTTTCTTCCGAAAAGCGACTTTCAGCATTATTACTCACTTACTATAATTATTAAAGCCTTTTAATAATTACTAGAGTCAATTATGGAATCATTTCCTTATTTTGCATAATTTATTAATTAAATTCCTTAATTAACGGTGCAGGTTCTTACATGGAGCACAGGGCATTGTGGGCTATGAGGTTTCTGAACTTCGATTCAAAGGCAGCAGGAGAGAAAATATTACTACAGTTGGATGAATTGGATGAGTTCCGTCTCGCTGCATATGAAAGTGCAAGCCTATATAAAGAGAAGACAAAGTTATGGCATGATAGGAAGATCACACCTAGGGATTTCAAGGTGGGGGATCAAGTCCTTTTGTTCAATTCTAGGTTGAAGCTATTTTCAGGAAAGTTAAAGTCTAGATGGTCTGGACCCTTTGTGGTGAAAGACATGAAACCTTATGGGGCCGTGGAAATTAGTTCCTTGGATTCAGACAGAAGTTTTACAGTAAATGGTCAGAGGTTGAAGTTATATGTTGGAAGTGCTGTGGATAGGCAACTACTGACAGTTGCCTTATTAGAGGTAAAATAGATCATACCCGTCAGGCTCGTGACGTTAAACACGTGCTGAGTGGGAGGCAACCCACTGTACCAGGTATGTAATTTCAATGTTCATACCCCATTAGTACAATGAAGAATGAAGGAGGGAAAAGTTTTGAAAATCTTAAGAGAAATTTTTGACCAGTGCTGGGCGCTAAAACCTCCGTTCTGGACGTTTTAGCGGTCTAGGAGTTGCATCACTATGAAACTCTCTGGCCATGAGCGCTAAAACGTTCATACTGACCGTTTTAGCGTTCACCCAATACATTATTTACACACACTCTGGTCCAGCGCGCTAAGACGTCCCTAGTGACCGTTTTAGCGTGGTGCTGCAAACACATTGTGCACATTTCTCTGGACCTGGGCGCTAAAACGTTTGGTTTCTACGTTTTAGCGCCCTGTCACTTATTCGAAAAGACACGGGCTTTTTCCCTCCCGCTTTCTCTCACATTTTTCACTCTTCTATTTCCACTCATCTCTCTCTTGGGCATCCTATCTTGCATTCTTCTACTTTTCTTCATCAAATTCCTCCACATTAACTCATGTTTCCTAAGGTATGTGCAATCATCTTCTTTCTATCCATCATTTGTCTTCTTTATTGTTTGTTTGTTTTTCTTTTTATTTTATTTAGGGTTTCATTCATCTGATTCATGAACTTCTTGTAATCTTCATGAGTAAAATGTGTTCAGTATGTTCCTGCATGTGTGGTGTAGCTGATTTCATTCATTCATTTTTTTTTGGGATAAGGTTTATCCCCAACCGTCTCATATATATGCTGCTGCACACACGCACATAAGGTGTTTGCTAAAATGCCTGACCCAGAAAAGCCAGGACGCTAAAACGCTGGTCACCCAACGTTTTAGCGCTTTAATATTTTAACAATTAAAATATAATTACAAGAATCATGATTCAAATTTTCTTAATTTTCTCTTAATGGCCGAATTATATAACAACCTTTATAATTCAAATTTTGTTAACTCTTTCTTAAAGAACACAAAATTAAACCATGCATGCAACTATAAACCCTTTAATGGTCGAATCATATATGCATGTATATGATAAATTTTGTCAGAAAAATTCATGCTATGCTCATGGGACAATTCATGGAGAAAAAATAAGAAAACAATCAAGGTACTTTAAGTACCCTTCATGGCCGAATCATCCCTTTCAAAAAAGGTGTTTCCTTTTAAAATTTTTCACAAAGAAAAAGAAAAAAAACCATGATTACATATAGATATATGAACATAGCAATCGTATTAACATGTTCATAAAAACAAAAACTTTAACAATTTAAAGCATTGTAATTCAAAATCCATATGCAAAAATTCAAGCTTTAACCCTTTAAAGATTTTTGACCGTGAATTTTTTTTTTTCACAAACAAGGTACCATCACCCGCCGATGGTAAAGCAACCTGGCTTAGATACCACTTGAAAGTTAAATGACCTTGAAGGCCGAAGCATGTGAGAGGGAAAAACAAAAATTTTCATGCGGAATCACACATGCAATCAAGACTCATGCTTTAAGACAGCATGATGTTACCTTTGTTTGTGATTCAAACACCAAGGAGATCAGTGTCAGGTTTGAAGGGTTCAAACCCTCTAACGTTGATCCACACCACCCCACGTCAAGATGCAAGAACTCTTCTTGAAAAGCCACTAATTGTTCACCACAAAAGCTTGCTAGGCGTCCAATGTGTGAAGGAGGAGGCTAGGTAAAGGTGTTTAGAAGAGTGAAATTTTCAGCTTAAAACTTCACAAAAATGGCGCATGGATTTGATGATATATGGCTAGGTTATTTTTCAAAACCTCTTGAGAAAAACCTAACAAAAGGATGACCAAAGGAGATGAGAGAACTATCAAAATTGGATCAGATTTTTCTCTAAAAATCTGACCATAAGTAGCGCCCAATAGAGAGGAAAAATGGAGTTGTTGCAACATCAAA